ATTTTGCAATATCATGCATTGGTTCCTTGGAAAATTTCAACCTACAGAGCTATGTCCCTCTTCCAGTCACAGTATGCTGTCAGCAAGGCCAACATTTTAGGGATTTAGTACAATGTAAATAAATTAATTTTATAATAATTTATGAGCTGGAAAATTCATCGAATTTCTAGTGACATACAAATAAAATCTGAATGCTTCCTCTTTATTAAGTGTCACACACATAAACTACTTAAGACTCTATTTGAAATTTAATTAGTCTCAATAGTGTGGCCAAGAATGAGCACCAATTAGAGGCTGGAGGAATCATGGGATCACCAGTTATCCAGAGCTCATCAGAAGTGGGACCCCCATGTGTCCTTGGTGAAGATGCTAAGACCTACAAGTATTTCAGAATCAGGGCTGCTGGCATGGTCCACACTGGGAGTCTCACTGAGATGTGTATTTGCTATTACTCACTGAAGAATGAAGCAGGAACAAGGATACCATTACATCTCTTAACACTGAACACAAGCAACATTCATGTTAGTGAGGTTACACTCATTACTTCACTGCTCAGGTAATTTTGTACATGTTAATTTTTTTATTTCTACTAACATTAGTAATGTGTAAGACACATATAATTATCTATGAAATACTTGAAAATCTTAAGCTGATGTAACTTTTACAGCCACATAAGATGCATGTGTACTATAAAATAGACAGATTGTTCCAGATTATACATTTCATCTTGAACAATTAGTTTTTCAAATGGTTTCAGAGAAGCCCAAGTCAAAAGATAGGATTGTCATAGGTTTTACTTTTCTACCAAGGATTGAACTCAGGACCTTGGGCATATGAGGCAGGCAGCAGAACCACTGAGCTAAATCCCCAGCCCAAAAGATAGGAATTGTAGTGATTGGAAATTACCATGCAACAGAGCACCAGGCTATGCTAACTTAATAGTCACTTGAGGTGGATTTAAAAGGATAATGAACAAATCTATAAGAAGATGAAATTTATGAGAGCATTTCTTAGAAATCAAATCATAGTGTTTTAACAGTCTTTAAATTAGCAAAAGAAAAAAGATTGTGAGGTTTAGTGTAGTCATTATTATGCTCCATTTTATGACAACTGGAATTCATACTGTATTAAAATGATAATGCTGCTTCTTTGGATAAGTTATGATAATTCACCCATTTAACAATGGGGAATGAACTGTCACACTCACTATGTTCTTCACATTTTAAAGTTGTGGCCAAATAATTTCAACACATTGCTGATAAAATGAAAAGAAGGAGCAACCTGGATTCCCTCTTCTGCACATGATCAGGATGAACAGTGTAGAGTAGAAATGTTAGGAGAATTCAGCTCAGGGAAACTTGAGAATTTGCACTGAGAGGAGGACAGCTAATAATAAGAGAAGGAGCATGAGACTAAGAGATTTGATGACTCCTATCTGCCATTTTGACCAAGGAAATAAAATTGCTGTAGAGTGATTTGCATCCGTGGTCCACACCATGTCACCAGTAGAAGCTTCTTCAATTAATTTCCTTTAGGTCATGAGATTCTGACAACAAACAGTTGTCTTTTTATTACAAATATGGCTAAGAGAAGAAACCACATGCAAGTCAAAGAATTACCAGACAAAAATAATTTCAATAAATCATTTTTGTAAAACATTCAAATGCCATATGAATGTACCGCTATAAGCAAATCATCAGTATTATACACATAAAAGGCAGAACAATGGTAAATGTTTTTGCAATGGCAAAGTGATTATCTACAAAGTACTACAAATGTCAAAGAAAATATTTTCAATATTATAATAATTCAATTCTCTTTTTAACAATGAAAATAAAATAATACAAACACTAGATCTCTTGATATGACCAATTTAAATGCTGAAAAGAAAATCAGTAAGCAAAAAAAAGCAGAGTGAAATAAATTAAGGTTGAAATAATTTTAGAATGAAGAGACTTTAGAAAAACTCTGAAATCTAGCAACCCCAGCTCCATGTCCTGAGTTCCTCACTAGGTTTGCTCACTCCTTGCTCAGAGGTGGGGTGGGCCTGGACTTTCCTCTGTTTAGGATTAAGTTTTTATGATATTGCAATTACACTGTACCCTTAAAACACTAAAGTTCCTTGATCATTTTTTGGAGGAAATGGAAGCATGCTTCCAGAAGTATTACAAATGCAATTATGTTTTCACTCTGTTGTATATTACTTATATTACTTATAATTAAGACACAAAAAATCAGTCCCACATTTTAAACATCACATAGGCCACAATTCTTATTTAAAATATTTTATTAACAAGTGTAGCTGTACTTCTTTATGACATACCACATTATACATTACATTTGTAACTTGGGTGTTTATTAGCACAGGATCCTTAGGTCCTTGATTACAGCAAATATTTATCACAGTCTTTACTTTTTGGTTTTAGTTTCTTTGAGACAAAGTCTCACTGTGTAGTTTGGGCCTGACTTGGCCTAATTGTGTTGCCCAGGCTGGCCTTCAATTCACAATGAGTCACCTAATTTTTGGTATTATAGGTGTGTGCTATTAGGCTTGGTGCCTTTTCAGAGGCAGAGAACCTCTGCACCTTCTCTTTAGCTATTTTGAAGTATTATACAATATTGTTGACTGTAGTTCACATCTGTGTTGTATGACACAGCATTCTGTATTCCTGTGGGCTGTGAATTTGTGGCTTTTGAGTAATTTCTCCTCTCCTTCATCTTGGTCTCCCCCTCCAGGAACCACTATTCTGCAGTACTTTGAGCTCAGCTTTGTTAGATACCTATTATGTGTTGAATCATGTGTACATTTACATGCCTGGTTTATGGCCTCTAGTAGGATTTTTAGTTCTGTTATGGTCTAGGCATCCCCCACAAACCTAATGCAGTCATAAGTGGGGCTTTTTCCAGAGATGGCTCGATCTAGAATATGTGACACTGGGATTAAGGGTGTGTGATTACTAAATCAAGCAACCAATTGCTTTGGCACTGCCCTAATCCTGGTAATCTGGATACAACATAAGGGACAGAAAGAGGCTTTTTTTCCTCATGCTTGCTTGCTACCTTCTGGCCACCATGAACCGTTTCTGCTCTACAATGCCTGTCTGCAAGGCCACCCTGTCTTCAGCCAGCTGATTATGGACTGAAACCTCTAAGAACGGCAAACTAACGTTTTCCTCCTTTAACTTTGGGTGTCAGGTATTTTGCCTCAGCAATGAGAAGGTAACTAAGACAAGTTCTATTCATATTACTTTAAATGACAGAATATGTCTTGCATAATGGCCCATGCTTTGTGATGCTACTTCCATAACTCTGTGGCCAAGGACAAAGGCCTCACATGTGGAAAAGTTCTGCATTCCTGGAGGTGGCATGTCCATAAGAGCCCCTCATCCAGGAAGGACCCCTATTGGAGGATCCATTGTTGGCTGCATGCCAGGAGGAGGGCCGCTCATACCTGGAGGGGGTGCCCTTTGGCCCATAGGTGGAAGAGAAAACACATAACCAGTTGGGTACTAGGTCAGGCCCTTGTAATTCTAGCTGTGGCAGCAGCTGCAGCAGCTGCCACAGTGCCTCTTTTTTGTGGGGTCATCACCTGTTGGCATGGGCCACCCACACCATGGACTGGGCCAGCAAATCATGCAGGATCCTGTGGTATGGGAACCCCAGCCAGGATGCCTCTTCCACCAGCTTTACTAACTCCTGGGCCACAGTAGCTCCAGCAAGGGGTACTCAGACAATGCCAGTACCTTTAGAAGGAGTTCCTCCTACTGTCATCATGAGCACATTCTCCCCTCACAGCAGCACCAGACTAAGGTCTGGTTTCTGCTCCTTTTCTGCTTATTTAGAGTCCTTTGGTTTGATCTTCCTGAAACTGTCACAATCACACAGGAACAAATTCTCATGCTTGTGGAGAGCTTGGAATTTACCAGTGCAGAGTCAGCCTTGCAGAGTGCACCTCATCCTGTAGTCAGTGTTCTGGAGCATCTTGCTGTTCTTCTCACATTCCTGGTAGTGATTCTGATCACTTGGATTGGTGCCAAACTCACCTTCTCAGAGGCCTAGATGGAGCCAGCTTTCTGTGTCTCTGGTCCCTGCAGAGATGAACATGCTGAGGCTCAGGACACTTCCTTCTCATCCTTCCACCTCCATCAACTGCAGCCATCACCTCTTTTTTGATTCTCACCTCTTTGTTAATATCAGCTTTATTATTACCATCCAAACATGAGAGAGATGTCATAGGAATGCATGGTTAAGACATTTGATTAAAAAGTACAGAGGTTCTTTCAGATGAAAAATATATTTGATAAGCCTGATTCATTTGCAAATGAGGACTGGAGCTCCTCATGTAGTTAGTTGGGTAATTTTTATGAAATTCAATTTACCTGTCATTCAAGTCCAGACTTTTATAAAAATGTATTAACACAAACACATGGTGTGACATAGACATCACTCTCTAATGATCATTTCTTCATCTTCTTAAATACCAACCTAGTTTTAAAGAGTTGTTTATACTCCATGTAGAAGTGAGAATAGGTAATGTTTATCTTTCTGTGTTTAGCTTATTTCATTTACTATAATGTTCTTCAATTCTGTACATGTTATTACAGATGGAAGAATTTCTTTCTGAGGGACAAAGTAATATTCCTTTACATACACATACTACATTTTATTTTGCCTTCATTCATCGATAGGTACCTAGTTTTATTCCACACCTTGGCTATTGGGAATGGTGTGGCAATCACCAATAATGTGCAGGTATCTCTATAGGTGAATGGACCATGCTGCCTACTGTGTCTAATGCATACAAAATGTGGAGCAGATTGAGAAAAAGCACAATTACTCTATTGATGATTTCAGAGGACAACTTTCTTACTAAAATTTTTCTCAAGTTATTAGATTAATTAATTTTTGGAGAAGGGAATTCTTTTGTTTGAAGTTGTAGATACTTGTTTGGAAAAGCAGATATAATATTCCAGTATTCATGGATGTGTGCATGTAGCTGCTCAGGACACAGTCAGGGATCTTCTGACTTTCCAAGACTTCACCTCACCCTGGGATTGAAGGATCCTCTTCCATGCTGTCTTCACATCCTTGTTTCTTAGGGTGTAGATGAGTGGGTTGAGCACTGGGGTGATAATGCTGTATAAGAATGACATAAACTTGGCCTTTGTGCTGTGGGAAGGGGGCTGGAGATACATGTAGATGCCTGGCCCAAAGTACATGGTGACCACCAGCAAGTGGGAACTGCAGGTGCTGAGTGCCTTGTGTCTTCCTTCAGCTGACAGTAGTTTCAGAATAGCCCTGACAATTAAGATGTAGGAGATGACCACCATCAGAGGAGCCATCCCTGCAAAAGGAATGGCTCCTAAAGCCAGGGCCAGCTCATTAGCTGTGGTGTCCCCACAGGCCAGCTTGATGAGCACAGGTATCTCACAGAAGAAGTGGTCCAGGGTGTGGTGCCCACAGAGTGGGAGCTGGATGGTGAGTGTGGCATGGAGCAGAGTACTGGCCAGGGCACTGGACCAGGAGGCAGCTGCCATCTGTGCACAAATCCAGGGATGCATGATAAGAGTGTACTGGTGGGGCCAGCAGATGGCGACATAGAAATCAATGGCCATCACAGCCAGCAGGATGCATTCAGTGGCACCTGTCCAGGTATAAACATAGAGTTGTGTGATGCAGCCCCAGGCAGCAATTGTCTTGTCTGGTCCCCAGAGGTTGACCAGCAGCTGAGGCACAATGGTGCAGGTGACACTGAGATCCAGTAGAGAGAGGTTGTCCAGGAAGAAGTACATGGGAATCCGCAGTCTGGGGCCCAGCAGGGAGAGGATAATGATGGAGCTGTTCCCCAACAGAGTGAGCAGGTAGGAGACCAGGACCACTGCAAAGAGTGGACTCTGCAACCAGGGAAACTCAGAGAATCCCAGCAGAATAAAGGTGTTAGGAAAACTTGCATTTTCAATTTCCATGAGATCTATTTCTAATATATGGCTGGAAGGAAAAAGATAAGGATGAAGATGAAGATGAACTTTACTTTCCTATGTCTATAATCCTATGCCTTACTTTTAAGTCTTTCCTTTTGTTGTTGGAATGATTCCAAGGAGTATTAGGACATGTCCTCAAATATCACACTGCCTCTGTACAATTATTAACTATCCCTTGACTTTGAAATATGGATAGAGTGTCCACGAGAGTGTGATTCTAGTGTGATCTCAAGAGGCTGATAGGATCCTAGAATGCAGACACTAAAGTCTGTGTTGATGAGGTTTTAGAAAGAAAGGTATATTGTCTTGGCAATTAGTCCATGGTCCTTTCGTGTTACAGGTTGACAAAGCACTTGTCTGAATTTTGTCCATGCTCTGAGACATTGTGAAAAGCTGGATTTAAGGGTCATGTGCTAATTAGTCTGACATAGGAAATTTCATAGAGAACAGCACTCAGGCTATGGCATGGGCATTGCTCCATGCTTTCATCCAGGTTCACAGTGAGAATCAAGAGCAGAGATGAGAAGATAAGGATTTCAAAACCTTGGGCTCAAGTAAGTTTTTGTTGCTGCAGAGATTCAGCATGACCCCACCTAAATAGTGTTAAGTATGTACAGTATAAATCTTTCATTTGGGAAGAGAACACCTGAGTGCTATCTTTGAGCAGATCTGCCCAGAGCATTGGTTCCCTCAGATTCATTTCTCCATGCTCAGCCATCCAGGCACTCAGACACCATAGCAGCCATTGTCCAAGGAGCCCTGGCTACTTTTCATGCTGGTGTAAGACCCTGGTTTCATGGGCATAGTACTTGCTTTGCAGGAATGAGAATTGAAGGTGTGCATCAGGGATGCTTCCAGAAGCATTTCAATGGGAGGCCTGGGAGCCCTACACTGTGTGGCAGGGTGCTATTCAACAAAGGGGGCTGCAGAGAGCCTGATGCATGAAACTGTGAGGGAAGCCAAAGCTGCAGTGAGGGAGTCTCAGGGATTTAGGGATGCCAGAAGCATCAAACATCCCAGGAGGTAAGCTGCAGGCAGGGAGAAGAGGCAGAGGAGAGAGAGGCCATGACAGTCCAACTGGCAAGGCCAGGGCCCTGGGGCTGCCCAAGCCCATTGGAGTGTACATCCTGCCACAGGCTTTCCTGCGTGCTGGGCTGCAGCTTTGGGATTTAATAATTCCCCTGCTGGGTTTTGGGTTCCTCCTTGCTATTTTCCTGCCCATTGCTTTTGGAATGGGAATGCTTACCCTATGCCTGTTTCACTCATGTATGTTGGAGGCATGGAACTTACATTTTGCTTTCAAAGGAGCTACTAGACAAGGATTGCCTTTAGTCCCAGGGAAGACTCTGGACTTGGAATTGTTTTCACCCTTTTTTTAAAAATCAGCACATACTGATTATACTGGCAAATGGGTTTCCTTTTGGCAGGTTTGTGCATTTAGTAATATACTCTTACTTGGAGTTGGAGTAGTGCTGGAACTGTTAAGTTCAGAGGAGTCGTGGAGATGGACAAAGAGTGTTTTGCATAAATATATGGACCTGAGAATTTGTGGGCCAGGAGTGATTTGCTGTGCTTTGGGCTTAGAATGAGTGCAGATGGCTCATGTGCTCAGAGGTGGGGTTTCAGGGTGGTTTGATCATGACTGTTATCACTTAGTGGGTTAAACTGGAGGGTAGTCTGATGGCATCATTGGGAGGTGAAGGAGCATGGGACCAGGGGCCTGACAGGAGGTAGTGGGCCATAGGGCATGCCCTGTGCTGTATCTCATCCCTTCCCTTCCTGTCTTGTCTCTCTGCCCTGTGGCACCATGAGAAACACAGCTGTCCTCTGCCTCAGCCTTCCACTCAATCCCGTGACCTCAGGCCTAATGGCAGTAGAACAGCTGACTGTGGACTAAAATCTGTGGCACTGGGAGCCTCAGTAAATCTTCCTCCTTTTGGCTGATTTTCTCAGTTACTTGGTCCCAGGGTGACGGCTGAAGAATGCACCCATTCCCCAGACTGTCTCCCCTGACATTTTTTCTGTCTTTTAACATGTTCAGTAACCACACTGCTCTTGCTTCCCAGAGAAAGTCTGTGCAGTTAATATGCACTTGGCAGCTCTGAAGGAATGTCCTGCCCCCTCTTGCACCTCTTCCTGGCTATCCACTTAGGGAAGGATGGGGTAGAGGCTGGCAGTGCTAGTGCAGCTAACTAGTGCTTTAGACTTTTTTTTTTAAAGGAAGAAATCACCATGTGGGGGTTACTATAGGCAATGTCTCTTCCACTTTTCTTATACTTTTTACATGGTAAGACAGATGGAGCATAAAGTTCATTATTTTATCCATATTGAAGTCCACCATTCAATGATATTATGTGCACACATATTGTTATCCAACATAACCTTCACTGATCCCTAGATTCTTTTTATCTATCACACTCAGACTGGACCTTCTGAGTAATATCTACCTATGCTTTCATGCACACAGACCCGGGCAACCACGAGTCCACTTCTTGTCTCTACATATTTAACTACTCAAATATCTCAGAGTTATAGAATCTGACATTGTTTGTACTATTGAAATTGACTTATCTCACTTTTACAATCTTTTCTGGATTCAACCATGTGGCAGCATGTCCAAATTTTCTATTTTCAAAAGTAAAGCAATATCCCATTTCATGTATATACTACATTTTGTCTAGGCATTCTTTTTCTTAACAATTAATTATATTGGTACAATTTAAATATATGTAGCAGTCACATTCATCAAAGAGAATTTGTACCTGTACATGATATATCTTCATTCCTCATTTTCTCCCAGAGCACTGCCCTCCCTTCATCCCCCTCACCTCTTTAATTGCAGATGTGTTGTTTCCACTTTTTCTTTCTTTTTTCATTTTTTCTTTTCTCTTCCTTTTCCCTCCCTCTCTCCTTCACTTTTCCCTTTCCTTTTGAACAGTTTCTTCTCATTTTATATTATCTAGCATACATATTGGTTCTTATTTGCCCTTTCAATTATTCACAGCAGAGAGACAATGTGATATTTATGCAAATGTATGATCCATTTAGCTATAAATGTCTCCAGTTTATCTTTCTTTAGGCTGAGTAGTACTCCATTGTAGAAACCAACTACATCATTTTGTATCCATACATTGGTTGATGAGCACTTGGGTTGTTTTCAAGATTTAGCTATTATAACCTGTGTTCTATAAACATAGGTGCATATATATGGTTGCTGTACAGTGCTTTTAATTCTTTCAGGAAGATACCCATCAGGGGAATAGCTAGCTCAAATGGAACCTGTAATTTTAATTATTTGAAGAATGTCCACACTGATTCCCATAGTGGTTGCACAAGTCTGTACTCCCACCAAAGGGAGAAGTGTTCCTTTCTCCCTACAGCCCCTGCAGCATTTGTTATTGGATGGTTTCTTGATAGAAACCATTCTGCCTGGAGCAAGATGGAGTCTCAGGGTTGTTTTAATTTGCATCTCTGGCATGACCAGTATGTCAAACATTTATCACAGTAACTCTGTAGTATACTTTTAAGTCAAGAATGATGATGTTCCCTACCTTACCTTTGTTGCCCAGAATTGTTTTTGTTATTCTCTGTTTCTTCTGGTTCCAATGAATTTTAGGAATGTTTTCTCTAGTTATGTAAAGTATGCTAATGGTATATTGATTGGGATTGCATTCAGCCTATATAACAATTTTGGAAATATGACCATTTTCACTAAGTTGTTTCCTCCTACCCAAGAACAGAGGATATCTTTCTGTATTCTGATATCCTCTTTGCTCTCCTTTTTCAGAGTACAGTAATCTTCAATGTATATGTCAATTATTTCCTTTGTTAGATTGATTCCTAAGTATTTTATTTTTGGGAGGTGGCATTGTGAAATGCATTGTTTCCTTAATTTTTTTCACAGTGAGTTTCTTATTTGTGTACAATAATACTACTGATTTTTGAGTGTTGACTTTGTATTTAGCTATGCTTCTGAATTTGGCTACTAAATCTGGAAGCTTTTTGGTAGAGATTTTGGGGTCTTCTATGTAGAGAATCATGTCATCTGAAAATAATCATAATTTAACTGCTTCCTTTCCTAACTTTATTCTGTCAACCTCTTTTTCTTCTCTAGTTGCTCTCATTAATGTTTCCAAGAGTATGTTGAATAGGAGTAGTGATAGTGGATGTCCTTGTCTCCCTCTTGATTTTACAGAGAAAGCTTTCAATTTTTGACCATTTAGTATTTTGTTGTTTATTGGCTTGTCATAGATGACTTTTGTCAAATTGAGGTAAAGATAATCCTTTTTTTTTTCTTCTTTCCTGGTACTAGGAATTGAACTTGGGTCCTTGCACTTTGCACAGCAGGTGGTAAAACCACTAAGCTAAATTCCCGGCCCTAGGTAAAGATAATCTATTCCAATTTTCTGTAGGATTGTTATCATAAATTGTTGTTGAACTTTGTTAAATGCTTTTTCTCCATCTATTGAGATGATTATGTGATTTTTGTCCTAGGCTCTGTAGATATGATGTATTACATTTATTGATTTGTGCAGTTGAACCATTCCTGCATCTCTGAAATGAATTCTACTTGGTCATTTGTTGCATTCTGTTTCCCAGTGTCTGACTGAAGATTTTTGTGTCTATGTCCATTAGGGAGATTGTCCCACAGTTCACTATTGTTTTGCTGGATCCTTCTCTGGTTTTGGCATCAGGGTAATGTTTGCTCCCAGGAATGACTTTGGGAGTATTCCTTCCCTTTCAATTTCATTAACAAGTGTGAAGAGTAGTGACATTAGATCTCTAAATTTCTTGTAGAATTCAACCATGAATCCAATAGGATCTGGGCTTATTTTGTTGATAATTTTTAATTACATTTTCAATTTCACTGACTGATATTGTTCATTTAGATGGTTTGTATCTTTCTGGTTCAGCTTTGGTAATTCATATGTATTTAAGAACCTCTCCACTTCTTCTGTGTTTCCATCTTATTAGAGTACAAGTTCTCAAATAGGTAGTAATGATCATCTGAATTCCACAGAATCTATTGTGTTTTCACCCTTTTCATTCCTAATTGCATGAATTTGAGTATTTTCTTTCCTTATTTTAATAATATCAGATAAGTGTTATCAATTTTTCTTTATCTTTTGAAGAATCAACTCTTTGATTCATTGATTCTTTTCATTGTTTTCTTAGTCTCAATTGAATTAATTTCTGCTCTGATCTATATGATTTCATGTGATCTTTTGTGTTGACTTGTTCTTGAGTTTTTAGAAGTCTGAGATTCAACATTAGTTTGTTTATTTGAGGTTGCTCTGTTTTCCTGATGTGAGAGGTCACTGCTAAAAATTTCCCTTTTAGGACTGATTTCATTTTGTCCCACAAGTTGTGGTATGTTGTGTCAGTATTGTCATTTAATTATAGATACTGTTTAATTTCTCCTGTGACCTAGTGATTATTCAGGAGGATGTTATATAATTTTCAAGTGTTTATGGAATATTAGTGGTTTCCTTTGCCATTGATGTCCATTTTCATTGCATTATGGTCAGGTTTACACATTCTTTGGTAGCTCACCTTGGGTACTTTTTGCTTTGGCTGTTGTGCATAATGTTCTATGAATATACTTGCACAAATCCCTTTTTGAGAATTTGCTCTCCATTCTCTTGAGTCCACCCTGGAAGTGGAATGCTGGACTAGATATTTTAATTAATTTGTTAATGAATGCATTTTCTGGAAGCAGTATCACATTAATGTCCTACCAATGGTGCTAGAAACCTCCATGTTTTCGCAACCTCATCATTACTTTCTCTGGTCTCCCACAGCTGTGTCTTGGGCTGGTTCAGTGGGTCCCATTTGTCTCTGTATCTTTCCACTCTGCTGCAATATTTTTTCTCTCATTCTTCAGATTGACAATTTTCATTGCCCTATACTCAAGTTTGCTGGTTCATTCTTTTTTAAAAAAATGTAATACTTTAATTTATTCAGCAAAATCATTTATTTACACAATGGGGACTGCTAGTTTGATTTTTTTCAATGAAATAAAAACAAGGCGAACAGAGACAACACTGAACCATGTACACTTGTCATCAGAGCTGACCAGCTGTCTCCTTACCTGTGTCGGAATCATCAAGAGCAGCGCCACATGGACACTGGCTAACAGCTCACCACACAGGTCAGTAAAAACCCGGGAATTCTGCAGTACAATGAGCATTTTTTAAGTTTTTATAAATATATTAAAAAGTCAGCAGAACCAGCATTGTGAGCCATTACACAGAGTATCACTCTGAAGTCAGTGGAGCGGATCAGTAAAAACTTTATCAAACCATCCGTGGTTTCACAGTGATCTCATTCGCAGACCACAGTACAGAATCCAAACAGATGAAAAATATATCACTTTCTTTAGAAGACATCAATGATCTTGTAAGGATTTGGCAATGGAAATTAAGGGAGAATAAAAGGGATTGCATAGCATAGCCCCTAATAGAACAAGCTAACTTTCCAGATTTTCCAAACAAAAAAAAATAAATAAACAGAAGAAACACTTCAACATGAAGCTACTATGCAAAGTTTTTCCATTTTTCTTTGTAAAAAGTTCAGAGCATGCAGTTTAATCCTGGGACTTTAATGTGAAGGTCAGTTTTGACCTGGACTTTCCCTTGCCCAGGATAATTTTTTGTTCTCTTTGCTGCCATTGTCATTCTTGCTCTAGTTTCATCCTTTCCTCATGAATCTTTCTTTGTTCTTAAAAAATTCTCAATTATTCTACAGCCAGTTTGACTTGTGCTTCTGCAATTTTTCAGTTATTTTCTTCTAGTATTTGCCCTAGCTCCTCAGGTTTTGCACATGCTTCCTCCTCTCTAGCTTTTTGTGCTGCAAGCTCAGTTTGTCTCTATCCCTGGAGTTCTTCCAGCAACTGTTTTTCCATGATGCGTTTGGCTTCCTCCATCCTTCAGAAAACTTCTCGCTCAATTTCATCCATCCTTTTTTCCAATTCTTCCTCTAGACCTTTTGCCACCAATTCTTCCACTCAGTGCTGTTTCTTCCTTGATTAGTTTTTGTTCTGTTTCCTGCTGCCCAAATGTTCTCATCCAGGCTGCTGCACTTGCTCACTGCACACGTGAAGATGTTATTGAGGTTGGGAGGGGCCGAGGAGCACTCCGGGGGAGTTCTCTGCTTTGGTGGAGCAAGAGCACGAGCAGGAGCAGGAGCAGCAGAGCTTCTTGCGCTTGCTGTTCTTGACATGCTTGGAAAATGAAGAGCTCCAGCTCCCCGACAGGCCCATCCTTCTGTGACACAGACGTGAGCTGGCTGACCTGCAGCGGTCCCGACTTCTGTGTCTCTTCATGGCCCACACCTCCACTCAGGCCTCCTCAGACAGGAAGACCACAATGCAAGGAATCCTGGTTCATTCTCCTGTGCGCTCTGTCTTTGGATTTCTAGAGGTAATCTTTCTCTCTGGGCGCTGTATTTTTCATTTGTGGACTTTCTGAATTTTGATCCTTTCCCTTTCCTGGCATTTCGAGCTTGTTCACACCTTCATCCCCGCTTATCCATGGTGTGACCTTCTACAGACTCAATTACTTGGTGTCTGCTGTGGTTCCATTATTTCAAACGGAATAGTCAAGAAATAACAATTTGTACATTTTTAATATCCCTGATTATGGTATTTTTAGCAGAACTTTATTTTAAAAAATGGGACTCAAGTTGTATCTTCATTTTAAATAATGCAAAATCAGTGTTCAGTATATAATGATAAACTCTAATAGAAAAAATTTAAATATAAGAACTCCCTTTCAAACATAAAGTTTTCCTGACTATGGTATAATTGTTCTAGTGGAGTAGGAATCATCTTCCCAGTGTCCTCCTGTGCCTGCTTAACTATTTACCAGTGTCATAGCCACTTGTCCCAGCAGTGCACACACTGGACACTGGGTTTGGTGTCACCTACTGGTTGGTGTGGAGCATGCTCCTCCTGAACGAGTGGATTCTTTACCTTGATTTCATGAACTTCTTCTCTCCTTCAATTCTCAGGGCACCGTAAAGATCAGTGTTTGAAAGTGTTGGTCTGGTACAGCTTCCAGCAGGTCTTGGTCATTATTTCTTCCTGTTGGTTCTGCTAGTTTTCATTTGACTAGGTCATACTCTCCGATGTCTTTGTAGGTCTCATTAAATGTAAAAAGTACACATTTAAAGATGGGAACTGGATCTGTCCCCTTCCTTAGGTTTGGGGATTGTCCCCTGTGTTTGTTTCTCTTGGTTGTAGCTTCCTTGCTTTAGGCTGCCTGTTTTCTGGGCACCAGATGGGGTGTGGGTAGCCTCTCCCAGGTCTTCCCGAATCTCTTTCTTCTCTGGGCATGCACCATGAGTCTTTTTTCTTTTGAGAAGAAAACTGCACACCATGTGATGTTTTACTGCATCTTATAATGTTCAAGCAGGGCAAGCATATCTACCTCCTCACACACTTCTTATTTCTTGGTGGTGAAAAACTCACAACAATGTTCTATCTCCTAGAAGTTTACAGTACATACAGAAACCTATAGTCACCCTGATGGACAGATAATCTAGAATTTATTTCTTTGATCTAATTCTTTATACTATTTCCAGGAACTCACTTTCCTGGAGGGGTGCATGACAGTGACCTCCACACCTGTTCTCCAGTGCCTGCGATGCAGGTGCCTGCTCCCTGGTATTGGGAAGGAGTCCCCCAGCCCTGCACTGATATGCAGCTTCTCCAGGAGCTGAGTCACTGCTGGTCCTGCTACCAGGTGACATTCAGACATGACCTGCATCAACCACAGTTGATGTCAGGAGCTGTCACCAAGCTCATAGCCTCTGCTGGACACCAGGGATATGTCAGTCACCTGGGGAATTCTGCAAGCCACTATATCACAGTGCAGACTGACAGGTCCCTCACCAAGTCAGGATTCCAGTGCCTCTGTGTCCTCTGCTGTTTTAACTTCTCTCCCTCTCTCTCTCTCTCTCTCTCTCTCATTGCATTACACCCCAGTCTCCTGTCAGACTTTTGTGTCCTTCCACATTTTAAATAATAACAGTATCATATAATTTTTGTAGGTCATGAATGTTCAAGCTCCATGATTCCATTTCTGTTTCAGATGTCCTACTACTTCTTTTATAAGTACACATCTGCAATGCATGATGAGTGACTACATGAATTATGGGAGCTGGTGCAATAAGTAAAACATCTCAATTCTTTTTTCATCTCCTCTCCCACTAAGTCCCCTTCCAGTTACACATGGAGACTTCACTCTGAAGTCCTGCCTGTGTCTCAGTCTCAGACACCCCCAACTTCCTAACTGTCCATTGTGAAGTGGCCCTTCCATCCCACACTGCTCTGGGTTATCTTCCACCCATCCAAAAGAATCAGAGACCCCAGATGGGACCGAGAGCACTAAGACTGCAGAGGGTAAGCAGTGCTGAGCAGCACACGAAGGACATATGCCCCTGACCAGTGTGTGCACATGTCCCCATTAGCTCTCGTGTCCTTGCACACGTGTTCTTCATGTCACAGCTCCCATCTCAGTGTGTAGAGGATCCTCCTCCCACACTGGACCAGTTCCACTGACAGAAATACCCAGCCCAATGACACATTTTTAATGATTGCAGTCCTGGAAAATACTTGCAGATCAGAAAATGTTTTCACAGATCAGAGTGGTGAATGTTATGCAAAGTTTCAAAAGAAGAGAAAGCAAACCCCAGGACTATATTCATTAAATTTGGTGATCACCTTGGGGAAATCTAAAAGAGAGTACTAAACATATAGTTTGCAAACATTTGAAAAAATTGTGGCCAGCAGCACAGCATTTGGGTTAATTTGATGCACACATGAAAAGTGGCCCTATGTAGAGAAGGAGGTGCGTGCTGTTGGGGGTCTCATGGATGCGGAGATGTCTGGTCTAGGGCTAGCACAGCATTTATACCCAGAGTCAGTGTCTCTGGGCCCAGGCTCTGCAGACTCGGGACCCAGACACCTTAGGGATAGGGATGAAAGCACCTCTGTCCTCAGCCTTCTGCAGGAGGGATGCAGAGGCTGGGCCTGCAGGTGTCCTGAGGGCACCTCAGGGCAGGAGGAGCTCCCATCTCTGCCTGCCTGTCACATCTGACTCTGCTGTTACCTTAACCCCTGTGAGTCAGAGCCTGCTCATCTTTGTATGCACATTAATCATTTAGAGAGAATCTTTCAAAAAGCTGGCAACACGAGGTTTTCCAACTCTGAATTTCCCTACTTTGTCTCATCTTCCTTCAAGAGATAGGACACAAAGATAACAGAAACACAGTACATCACAACTCTATCAGACACTGAAAAATTGGTTCAAACATCAATTTTGATCAAACTACTCATCTCCATCATGTAAGATATGGAATGACTAGGTTTTATGTTCCTTTGTCTTGTTCTATATCCCTTTATGTGACATTTAGTGTATCATTTGACACTTGCTATACATTCCATATTTTCCTTGGCAGATTATTGTTCTCTGTCTCTCCTCTCCTGTGTGTATGTGTTTGTGTATATGTCTATAGGTTTTTCCACTATTTATCCAGTAGTATTTAGAAATATATACATATTATCAGAACCAATAATTTCTTACTCTTGGAAAATACATTGTTGAGGAGGGAATTGAAGTTGTTATTTTTTTTTAAGAAATCTGTCTCCCCATGATTTATCTTGGGTCCTATGTTTCTACCTCCCAATATCTATAACCAATATTTATAATATCTATAACAACCCAGCTTCATTACGGAAGTGCAGAAATCTATTTCACCACTCTATGAGATCTGCTGGAAGAGAAAAGAATTTTAGTGCACACTCAAGCCAAACCTCACCCTCTCACATATTTTTAGTAGTTTTGGTGCTGTGTCTTGAACTCTGAGCCTCTTCCACACTAACTGCACATATATCATGGACATACATCCTGACTCCCACGAGCTCATTTCACCTGAGATAGAGGAGAAGCAAGTGTGGAGAGTCAAGGATACTGCCGTGAGAGTGTGGAGATCTAGGTCAGAAAATGCAGACTGTTATCAGAGGGCCTGGGCTTTAATGCAAAGTTGCAACTCATAACAATCCATGGGGAGTTAATAAGAATCCAAAAGAGGGATGAGAGAGAGGGGGAGAGGATGAGGAAGAGGAGGAGGGAGGGGAGTGGAGTGGGGAGGGGAGAGGGGAGTGGAGAGAAGGAGAGTGAAGAGAAG